ACCCCCCTTTCTGCATTCCGCGTACTCTGGCTTTTTACATGTGGTCTTGTGCCCAGCCTGGTGCCCCCCCTGGGAGCGCTGTCCAAGACACGCTGTTTCGCCCGCTGATGGCGGACCAGCGGGCTTTCAAGGCGGAAGCGCTGCAGAGCGCCACTCTTGCCGCGCGGTTACGGCTACACCTGCGGGCTGCTCAGTTGTACGACGGGGAAACTGTGCACAGTTTCCGCCGTGGTGCCCTGCAGGCCGCTGCGTCGGCCGGTGCGGGAGTTCCCGCCCTGATGGAGTTCAGTCAGCTTCGGACTCCGGCGGTGCTGGAGCGATACCACAAGACCACATGTAAAAAGCCAGAGTACGCGGAATGCAGAAAGGAGGGTCCTCACTGTTGGGCCGCAGCAGCACCGCGGGGCCACGCACCAGCCGATAGGTCTTAGTTCCCCGCTGACGGAAGCAGAGGGTAGGACATCCACCAGGACCCCAGGACCATGGCGGAGGTAGCGGGAACCCAGAGTACGGCCGGTCGGGCTGCGAAGGTTCGACGAAGTCACCCACCCCCAGCTTCCCGATATCGTGACCCCTCTGGGCAGTCTGCCACAGGAGAAGCACGCACAACAGGTCCCGCAGGAAGACCAGTCGGGGCAAAGCTTCATCAGTCACCACCACCTGCGACCACAAGTAACCCACGAGAGCACGGTACTTGTCATAAGACAAGGGTACTGCCGAAACCTCGGTGTAACCCCCGGCGACCTGGGACCGCTGATACGACGCGCGGAAATCCTCAACCCAGATGCAATCGCAAGGGTTGCCTTGGCCGGTGGAGACGTCGAATCGACCACCCCGGCCCACACGGCTGAAGAAACCACTCAGGCAGGACAGGTGGGACTTAACGGCGGCAGGCCCAACGGGGCCACCACTTCGGCCCTGATGCCGGGGCATCCACCAAACCGTCATATAGACGAGCACGTCGTCTGGCGTACAATTCCCACAGTCCCGACCACGACCATGGCTGAAAGCCACTCAGGAACTCGGTGACGGCACCATCCTGGCGGGACACCGTAGAAGAGGCTAGGGCACCAAGGAGCATCTGGTTGGCCGCGGCCAGACCCCGCTGGTAAGACGCTTCTTGATCCGCGGCTGAAATGAGGGGCGAAGGGCGGAGCCGAGCGATAACCTGGTCTAGGCGACCGCGAGCCACACCCAAGGGGGCAGGTGCCTGCAGTCCGAGAGAATCGCTTATGAGAGCGCTAGAGCAGGGTCAGCAGCCAAAGGACTTCTCTACCAACCTGGGCAGGAACGCCCAGCGGGAAAGGCCGGCTAACGGGGGGCCCAGCGGATCCGGCGGCGGCGCCGGTGACAACCCCAGGGCCAAGAAAGAACTCCTACGGCAAGCGAGACACGATAATCAGCCAACATTGCACACAGAACAGGGGGCAGCAAACGGATAACCCACAGAAGGCGCCAAAGGCGGAGACTCGAGAGATGGAGCCGACAATCCAACCAAGGAAAGCGGACCCCCCTGAAGGCCGAGGCCGCCAGTGCGAAGAGGGACCTGCGGGGAGACGGGCCCGTCTATCGCAAGCGCAAAGGACAACACAATAGCTCGGCGACACCTCACCACGCCACGTAAGCCCCATCCAGGAACAAAGGAAGGCTGCACGGAGCTAGTCGCGTCAGTGCCAAGAAAGGCAAAGCCATCGACCTGGGCACGACAGCGGTACGGAAACGCATCAGAATGATCGCACATTCAGGACAACCGGGAATCAGTGGTTTACATCTAATTAATCTAAACCTAAGGAGAAGGAGATCAGCTGCGATGCAAGTAGGCAGATGAACAGGGCGTAAATCGCCCACGCGCATTGGAGACCGCAGTAAGACGCAAGAGTAGCCAATAATTTTCCCTGTCATAAATGCAAGCATCTTACCGCCGCTCCGGACCCAAGGCTTAAAACTTGCGGACCAGCCGACTACTGGCTCGTAATGGCGTTCGGCTTCGCCCCGGCCTGCTGGGTCTACAGCCTGCTGAAGCAGGAGCTATTTCGACCGATGCGGGAGCGAGGCGTAGACCTGGCGTACTTAATCGACGACTGCGCGGTGGCAGCGAGGACACTCCCAGCTGCACAGCGCCTATGCCGAGCAGTCGTCGACCTCCTCACGGCGCTGGGTTTCACCCTGAGCCTTGAGAAATGCCAGCTGCGACCGTCCCACCGCGTCAAGTTCTTAGGCTTCATGGTCGACGCACAGCGCGAGGTTTTCGAAGTACCCGAGGAAAAAGTCCGCCAGCTGGCCGAATCGGTAGAGCTCTTGGAGACCGCGGGACCGGATTCAATCACAGCCAGGGAGGTGGCACGGGTGGCCGGCCGGATCATGGCCATGAGCCCGGCGGTGGCTACGGCGCCGCTCCACGCGCGTGTGGTTGGGCGGGCGGCAGCAGGAGCAGCACACTGGGATGAAGCGGTGGGGGACCCAGCCACTTTCCTGTCTAGGGCACGGCTCTTCCTAACCCTGCTGCGCCTCAAGAACGGTAAGACGTGGTGGCGACGCGGGCCAGCCCTGGTC